TACCTTAAAAATTCTATGTGAAATCTAAATCACGTATGGAGCAAATAACAAACGATTTTGTCATCATAGTGACCATTGTGAAAACATTTCCAAATGTAACAGCAGTCCATGCATTCCTTTGTATGGTCTGTTATTCAAAAGGTTATTTTAGACCTGCGTGCAATACAGACAATGTCTGGGTATTGAGGCTTTCTCACCCAGCAACCTGAAGACAAAGGCTTTTAAATAATGTATTGGCTTTGCGAGAACGTGACAAACACAATTGGTCCGTTTGGTGACAAAGTGTACAAAGTGCTTTGTCATGCATTCAGACGCAAATTGACGTCACGCCTTGAGAAGGACTTGCATTGTTTAACTTCCGAATTTTGAATACCTACCCGTATAGCATCGCTATAAAATACGGAGTGTAATGCCAAAGTAGTTCAAATCACCTCGAAGACTCGAGAAGACAGAATCAAGAGATCATCCTGACAAGGAATCGAGAAGACTCAGAAAACATGGCTTTGCAGTTTACAACAACCATGGACAACTCCAAAAAACTCAAGGTTAGAATTTTTCACATGAAAGATAGAGTTGGGAACAATTTCAGTGAAGAGATCTCAAGTTATTTTCCGTGCACAGAACATTTTAAGACTTGTTTTTACAAAATATCAACTGCGCAATACCATCAGCCTTAAGTTAACCACACCGGTTCATTTTCGTTTATATACGTTTATCAAGTTTCAAAACCAAAAGTCCACATTTCTTTAGGAAATTAAGTGACGAGAGGAAAGAAAATAAGTTGTAAGGATATTGACCGTTCAAAAGAAGTTAGGGTAAGGAAGAGCAGAATACTTTAAGAGTCTAAATCAGTGCAAACGTTTTTTCCGTTATGTAGAGCCCTCAGAAAGCTCCTCGTGTGCTGATTATTGGCGGCGGAGTGGTTGGAATGACCAGTGCCTTACAGTTGCTGAATAAAGGGTAAGTTGATTTTCCGCTAAAAGGTCCTAAAACCAAAGCTAAAACTTATCTTTGTATAGTTTATGTAGAACACAATTCGATTCGTTATCAAACAATTCTGCCGAGTAACAGGAAAATTCGCCACTAATTCAGTTTTTCCTTGACGTGACTTAACAAAAAAAAAAGTTCCCGGAACAACGGGAAGTTTTAAAAGGGTGATTTTGTAATGAGAAACGTGTCCTCGAAAGGCAATTACTGCCATAGGAACAAATAGAGCTAAGATAAGAAAATTCAAAAGCAATAGAACGGTAAATTAAACACAAAGCAGTCATTTGAAGATCAAAGAATTCATTTTTTTTATTCCTCTTTTTCTCAGGTATAAAGTCACTGTTGTAGCAAAAGAGTACGCTTCACCAGTCGCCTCTGGTAAACGCATCACCTCCGAGATCGCCGGCGCTCTGTGGGAATGGCCTCCGGCAGTGTGTGGACGACACACAGACGAGAAGTCACTGGAGAGGTCCAAGGTTTGGTGCATGGACAGCTATGGCAAGTTCATGGAGTTGGCCATGAATCCAAAGGAAACTGGAGCCTACCTGAGACAATCTGTCTTCTACTTCAAGGAAAAGGTAAA